ATTTGAGACTTTAGTCTTTGCAACTTTACAGATCTTCTTTATGCACCAGGAGCTTGTAACACTCCAAAGAGAAAGGAAAAATTGAAATCGCATCATATGACCCCTTTAAGGTGTATTTACAACACTGTTTCAGAGCAGTTCAACCCAAATACTCAGATGGGTGCAGCACATTTTATGGAGGAGGAGGACTGTTTCCTGGAAGAGTAGCCTACAATGCCAGTGTCTATTTCTATAAAGTGGGGCAATTCCAACTTTGCAAGGACAGTCTGGCGCTTCTGACTCACAGTCTGTAAGTACATATTTTATATTTAAAGAATTTGCCACTGATGATTCAAACGCGAGTTTTGAGCAGTGTAGAGTAGCACTTGTTGTTTGTCATTTCTCCGATCACAAATGCAGACATGGTTTTATCTTTATGCGGTGCGATGCAACGCAACGCATAAAAAGACAGTATAAGTCATTATAATCCGTAATTATGTCCCCACTGGATACAACAAATGCCTCATTTATAATGGGTTTTATTGTTTTTGTCTTGTGGTGCCGGGACACGGCATCACAGTATGGTAAGGGGCGTAACATTTCCGTCACAGGCTTGAGGCATTCCGCCAACCACAACTCACTGGATAAGCTGGCCAATCAGAGCACACCTCGCTTTTTCAGACCGATGAGCTTTGTAAAAATCGATGCGTTTCAGAAAGGCGGGGCATAGAGGAGAAACAATAATGTACAGTATGTGGAAAATAATCTGTTTTTTGAACCTTAAACCGCATAAACACATTGCATTACACCAAATACACAAAATAATGTTCTTTTTAGCAACATCACATGACCCCTTTAAACAATAAATATAAACTAACATAATAAATTCAGTAGGATCACAGTTAACATGAGCTGAAGTACATAAATCAACTTACTTGGTTCATATGATATACGCATACAACACCAAACATGAAGAAAGCATCAAGTCCATTTAGCTTTCACCCGCTCTTTCTACAAACGCTAATCAACGCACCTGCTGGAAATGGGCGGAGCATAGAGTCTGTGTTGTTGCTTTGACAGCGCGCTCTGACATTGATTGATTGCCAGAGTAAGTCTCATAAGAAAGACACAAATTCAAAGACACATTACAACGGGCCTTTTTTAGTGATTATACATTGAGTAGTGATAGTTTGGTTTAAAATAAATATGCTTCCGTCCTAAAACACAACAACATTTCACGAATTAACAAAATGTACATTATGTATCTAACAAATTTTAAATGAAGATTTGTATTAGTTTTATAAGTTAGAACTCCAGCCTTCATTTGCAGTTGAGTAATAATAATAGGCCCTGTTTGTTTCAGCAGCAATATTCAACAATGTCAACGTCCGTTCCGGAAATCCGTGACTATATGGCACTGGATGACAAGGTTTGTGCCCAGGTCATTCATCAATTTCTACGGATTTGGTTGTTGGTTGGTCTCAACTGGACATCTGTGGTGAACTAAACCTGAATGGTTTTACACATGCTCAATCTGAAATGCAAAAAAAAAAAAAAATAATTATATTGTCCTTGGTTAAAACACCCTATATCTATATCCATCTATTTTAACCAGGTCATAGGCCTATGTACATCTGTGTTACAATCTATAAAACTAGAGAAGTGTATTACCCTCTTCACATTACTGTAGGTTTTTGTCATTAGTGTTAAACTGAGTTTATGGTAACATTTGTGTGTGTTAGCCTACTGCTTATCTGTTATTTTAGTCACTTGATGATTCAGAAATCAGATGCCACAGAGACGTATATCGCTTAAAGCAGGGGTGCCCAAACTCGATCCTGAAGGACCGGTGTCCTGAAGAGTTTAGCTCCAACCCCAATTAAACACACCTGAACCAGCTAATCAAGCTCTTACTAGGCATACTAGAAACTTGAAGGCAGGTGTGTTGAGGCAAGTTGGAGCTAAACTCTGCAGGACACCGGCCCTCCAGGACCGAGTTTGGGCACCCCTGGCTTAAAGCCTTAACGAAAATATTCATGCTTGACAGGGATGAAAACGAGGGTGTGAGGGATTCAAGTACAGCGAGTTCAATGGATTCAACATAGCCTACCGATTGTTCAGCTGACGTCTTCCCGAAAAAAACAAACAAATCCTTTTAAATGTCTCAACGTTTAGGTTGGGTGTTTAACTAATTCCCCCCCTTACATTCGCAGAAGCCATCGAATTAAGAAATGCAGATGCATTTAAAAGTAGCCTAGCCAACTTTTCAGGGCTTGAAAGACGATTGTGTAGTTTTCTAGTTCATACTGACTCATGACCAGTTTAAACTGGTTCTTCCTTTGGATGGTCCCTGGTTGTGCAAACTGGTAACGTTACAGACAAACAGATTGACTCATAACTAGCTACTGTACCAGGTCCAACCGCCAATTCAAGCTTTTTCAACAGGACACCTTTCCTCAGCTCAGTGCTAACTTTTTTTCTGTCTGATAATTGTTTTTAATGACTCGTTTGTAATGTGTTTGTGTATGTTCCTCCTCCAGGGAGCAGTCATGAGACGTTTAGTTTAGTTTCAACACTTGTTTTATGCAATCTCAGTTGTCTTGTTTACTGTTTCACGGCTCAAATGTCACTTCAGTCTATACAGTGATTGAGATCTCTGAATTTAAGTGTTTTTCCGTTCTCCAATAACTAATACCTAGGCCTGTTTTTTATATATAATTTTTTTAAAGGCTATATGTGTTATACAAATAAGCTTACCAAATCTTTGTGATTAATGATTAAAAATTTATTCATTATTAAATGTATTCTTTATTATTATATATCCTTTATTAAAAGCTGACTATTTTGTTTTTGTCCTCTTCTCACCTTATTGTTGTATAGGACTTAATCTTTCAGTGATGACTAAATTTGCTATATGGCTATATGTATATGTAACAATAATGTACAGTGACCCCAAAAATTATTTGGACACTTAATCGTCCAACTTAATTACCACATTTTGCTATAAGTTTGATTGCATCATATAATAATTGCTGTTAATAGTGTTCATTGTGTTTTATTACGTCTTAAATTGATTTTTCCGTACATTTCTGCCATATGTACATTAACTGACAGTCACCACTGATAAGCTACCACTAAATATTGTAGAAACTTAATTTGCTGTAAAGTTGCTTTGCAA